AGATTTCGTTACTTTGATTACCGGTACTTGCGTTAGTAGGTTGATATTTTTGATATTGCATGCTTTGTTATTATAAATATCATTTTATCATGCTAATCACTGCAATATCAATATATCCATCCGTATATTAATCATTATAAGAATTTTTTAATTTTATTTTCAAAATAATCCCAAGTGCTGGAAAACTAGGTAAATGAACAAAACATATGCAAAAAAAAACAAATATCAGCAAATTCGGGTACCTAACAGAGAGTTAGAAGTCATAATTACAATATAAAATCCACACAGGCTCTGGTTGACAAATATTTAAAAACGAGACGAAATACGATATGCTATGCGATTATAGCGGTGATTTCCATCTGCCGTGTTATCAAAATGTATATATTCAAAGTAACGAAGTAACGATATAGTTCTTGGTTCGGTACTCGTTACTTCGGGTTCGGGTATTGGAAAGTAACGGGTACAAAGTAACGGGTAGTTACTTTTTCAACATCTCTACATTCATGTCCAAATATCAGACCTCCGCCTAAGAAGTTTCACTTCAAGAACAAATATTATTATTATTATCATGATGGATATCAATGGTAGGCGGATGGGTAACCGATGAGACCCACTCAGTCTTTCAGTTTTTCATAGTTTTTCACAAATCAAACGCCATAATGAACAAACGTATTGTGCCGGCCCCTCATTACTGGATCCTAATGGTTTCTAAATTGATTTACTGATGTTGTACTAATTGTTTCATGACTAAGTTTATTCCACTAATAAACCACCCTGTCAAGAAATTTCTTCTTAGTAACTTGTTACATCTTTCCCCTTCAAGTTTCTGTCCTGTGGTATTCGTGGCGTTAGTGGCGAGGAAGAAGTTAATGTCACATGCATAGTGACCATTCAGTATTTTGTAAGTTTCCTTAAGGTCTCCCCTCGTTCTTATGTCTTTTAATATAGTTAGGTTTAGTTGGTTAAGGCGGCTCTCGTAGGGTAGATTAGTGAATTGGCTTTTTTGTCATTTCAGAGATGTGTTGGTCCCATTTCAAGTCTGATGGGGTTGTATTATTCAGGTCTTTGTGGCACAAAGCTTTTTTAATCCACTTTTTTTTTTAATTGACAAACTGTAGAAGTGAATTGCAGAGTAGGCTTTTGTCATCTGCAAACGATCCATATTTGGTCTTCAGTTTTTGGTATGTCACGCAAATTCGCCAAGAAAAGCAATAAGGGTCCCAAGACTGCCTTGTGATAGGCCGCTGTGGACAGAGTATCCAACTGAGATTGATATTCCTGTCCTAACCTGTAAGGTACGTCCAGTAAGGAATTCTTCAAGAAGTCGCAGTAAATTTTCCCTGACTCCAAAATGCGATAGTTTGTATAATAAGGTACCTTCCTATCTTAATAAATGCTTTTTCAAAGTCGAGGAAAACTACATCAATTGAATAATTCTCATCATCACATATTGAGTCTGGTTAAGAGGTTCGTAAAAGTAGATTTTTACAATATGAGTTTCGAGGAAAAGCTTGTGAGTTTCTTAGCAATAATTTTTTCCATACATAAGGCGCTGATGGTGAGGCTGACTGGGTCTGTAGTTTTCTACTACCTGTTTGTTACCCTTTTTGAATATAGGAAACTGCCTTTTTCCAAGGTTATGAGAGAGATGTGGATATTATGTCATTCATAAGTAATGCCAGAGGCGCCTTTAGAGTTTTTTTTTTTGCGAAAGAAGACATGAATATCTAAACGAAAAAAATAATAATACTATGGGAAGGCAGCATTCAAGAATTCACGTAACAGAAAATTACTTTTTAAAATTAAATTGGATAGGAAGTTGGATGTGAAAAGAATGTAGATTAAATTCATCTCCGGTTGCATGGTTAAGAGGCTATTTGTAAACTTATTGGAATATTGCTCTAGGTTTGGGTTGGTCAATAATTATATTCAGGATTCTGACTAGTCATAAGGTGTACATTATTACAATGGGCCAGTCTACTAATAGATATCTAAAATTCAAGGGGATGTAAGATTGCAAAAATATGCTCATAGTGGCTTCAAAATTTGTATAATAAATTATTTACAAACGAGTTTACAAATATATTTCATTCATGTATTCCCTTATCACCCTAGCGCCATAACCATTTGAACCTTGAATTGAACCTCATCGTTTTCTAAGCATTGACCTTAGGATAAGACCAATACAAAAACTTATTTAAATATATTGTTATTATCGAAAGTTTTGATTTGTTCATCAAGTATTTAACTGTTTCTTAATAGTCCAAGAAACGGAGATCTGAAAAGAGGGGTTACCTCAACATAATTAGAAGTTGAAATTTTTTTGGGGGGATCAGTCCATTTTAATATGCTAAACAACATATTAAGTTTGCGACCTTGTAGTTCCATAGGGTTTTCAGTTAGGGGTGGTTTTTAGGGGTAATTTGCGGTTTATGGAGAACGCTGCTCAAAGGGATGGTTCAATAGTAAAAAGTTTCTAATGAATGTTGTAGCTGAAGTTTTTTGCTATAAAAAACTCAGCGACAGCACCCCTCTATCTTCTATAGTTTTTTTTCTGCAGCGTCTTGAATAGTAGCATGTTTTTGTTTAAGGTCACTGAATCAACGTTTTGCCATTTTGCGCGCATTTCTTGCAGCAGCGGCCGAATGCATAATCCGATTTCAATTTTTCAAACACCACATTATTGCTAATTAAATGCACTCTCCAATGCTTTTTTGTTCGAATTTTTTGCTTGAAAATTAAGCGAGCACGGACTTGTCTAATGTGCGAGGAAGTTGTAAATTGCATCGAAAACTACCCCTTTCTTGCATTCACTCTAATTTCTAAACGGGGCCAAATATTTGGTGACAGTTTTCGACAATCGGCAGCCCATTTATTCCTCTCATAATGCCCCAGCGGATTTTTTTTTTCGTTAATTACTTAATGACTTATTGGCCTGAAAACGTCGCGCGAAATTTTTCAAAAAGTAAAAAAAAAATAAAATTGTCGCATAGCGCTGAAATTTGGTACGATGGCCTTATTTCTTGTTCTTACGAATATACTGCAATTTAAATTGCTTCACATGATATAAAATTGCAGTATATTCATGAGAACAATAAATAAAGCCATCGTACCAAATTTCAGCGCTATGCGACAATTTTAATTTTTTTTTACTTTTTGAAAAATCCCGCGCGACGTTTTCAGGCCAATAAGTCATTAAGTGATTAACGAGAAAAAAAATCCGCTGGGGCATTATGAGAGGAATAAATGGGCTGCCGATTGTCGAAAACTGTCACCAAATATTTGGCCCCGTTTAGAAATTAGAGTGAATGCAAGAAAGGGGTAGTTTTCGATGCAATTTACAACTTCTTCGCACATTAGACAAGTCCGTGATCGCTTAATTTTCAAGCAAAAAATTCGAACAAAAAAGCATTGAAGAGTGCATTTCATTAGCAATAATGTGGTGTTTGAAAAATTGAAATCGGATTATGCAGTCGGCCGCTGCTGCAACAAATGCGCCCAAAATAGCAAAACGTTGATTCAGTGACCTTGAACAAAAACATGCTACTATTCAAGACGCTGCAGAAAAAAAAACTATAGAAGTTAGAGGGGTGCTGTCGCTGAGTTTTTTATAGCAAAAAGCTTCAGCTACAACATTAATTTGAAACTTTTTGCTATTGGACCATCCTTTTGAGCAGCGTTCTCCATAAACTGCAAATTACCCCTAAAAACCACCCCTAACTGAAAACCCTATGGAAGTACAAGGTCGCAAACTTAATATGTTATTAGGCACATGAAAATGAACCGATCCCCCCCAAAAATTGTTAACTTCTAATTATGTTGAGGTAAACTTCCTTCATTGCTTGGACTATAATTTATTACCCAGAAAGTATTTCTAGATCTTTGTATGAAATAATATGAGATTGGTGTCATATAAGCATTATGTTAGATGCTGGCGAATCAACTACTGTTCATCAACTTATTTTCAAAAATTTGGTGGTTCTATTCTTCTTTACTTGATCTTTCTGATTTCTACGCCTCAAGTGAGATTTTATTAATTCTATCTAGAAAGAAAGGACCTTCAAGGGTTGAAAGAATATTACTACCTACCTCCCATTATTGGTTATTTTCGAGAGGCTTATTATGCTAATGCAGTCAATAATAATTAGTCCCAACACCTACCTGATTCCAATTAACACAACATAAAATAAGACATTTTCTCCAAATTAAGCATAGACATAATGTTTATGGTGTAACTGAAATCTTGAATAATAAACCTCCAGGCGAGGGGCTCGCGGAGGGGTGCCTTCATGTTTGGTATATGTAGTTTTTGCAAAACCGTCCTTTATACAACGGTAAGAGCTTCTCAATAAAGGCCATGAAAGAGAAATGGTGTCCTTCTTTTATTGGCGCATTATTGTATCTTATCAAATTATCCCTCTAGGAAACATCTGTGTGCCTAAAGGGCGTGCCTTATTTAATAAATGTCCTTATTTGGGCTTTTGGAGGCAAGTTTTTCATTCTCAAAGAAAGTGCTGTTTCTTTAGTACCTAATACCTAAGTACCTGCACAATTTAATTTTTGAATCTAAATAATTAGAATCAACATGTTGAAAAATATATACTATTTTGTTTCCCATATGCAGAACACGTTCTGGCATAAACTAACTCAAGAAGCCGGATAATGCATTCAAAACAATAGGTCTAGACTTCCAGGTGTCCCAGCCAGCATAATATAGATTTTTCCTAGAATTGCCTCCATGCTTTCCCGACTTCTGGGGCAATGATCCCGTTTGTTTACTTTCATACAGCCCCTATCTGTATACCCATATGCATTTCTACTCAGCTTATCATAAAATATACTTATAGTTTCAAGGATATCAAGGTTCGGATAATATGTCATTTGACTTATTTAATCGGCAACAACTGTAAGTTGAACCGGTCTTTTCGGATCGACATCAAAATAATTCTGTGTTTTTATGACTTAAACTTCCGTCAATAAATAGAAAACAAGCATCTTACCTGCACAATAAGGTGAAAAAATGAAATATAGGCCCTATCTGCCCAAAAAAAAAACACACACTCACGTCCAATTATACCGATTTTACCTACTCTAGCATCCCGACAAAATACTTTTGTGCTGTGGTATCGATAGAGGAAAGAGGTTCTCGTTTCCCGACGAACGGTTTCGGCCGAACAACCGAAGACCCGAGAGAATACTCTTTTCGTTGCTGAAAGCCCCTCCTTCTTCATGCATGGTAGAAATAAAGCCCTGTTTCTGGAACAGCTGGTTTGATTTAATCCGGCTCGAAGGACCAGGGGAGGCCTCTAGCCGGGTACGCCAACAAAAGGGTAAAGTTACCTAACAAGTAACAAATTAGCAATGCACAGCTGATCGTAATCGTTTAATAAATATCTGGCTGTTTTAATGCGGCTGGCGCCATCTAGTTCTTGAATAGATCCGGCTCGACGGACCGCAAATGGTTAGTAGGAATCTTGTTTCGCTTTCCAATACTTGAAACGGTCGATGTGGGTTTATTTCAATGAGTTGGGGGAAGAGAACTTGTAATTTGGCAAGCTTATTTGAATTGAAAGTAACCATGTTTTTTTTATTTACTAGAGAGGTCGCGATAAGTTTCAGTTACGTTTATTATTTTTCAGGAATGAGGACAAAATACCAGAAAAAGAATGGACTTTTTTGTCGTAAGGTTTGCGATCTGCTATGGGTTCTAACCAGCTGCAACCTGCAACTTACAAACGAAACGCTTTATACAGGAAACCACTAAACGCATAAATATCTTAATTAAATTCAAAGCACCCAATCGAAATAATGGGCCGTATTCATAAAAAAAAGGTTATGCTTATACCTGCAGAATATGAAGGAAATCCTTCAGCTCGCATTCATAATGTTCCGAGTAAAACCTTATACTTATAGAGTTTGAGCATATCCTTCACAAAAAGTATTTGGTTATTCATAAACGTTACCTTTTACTCTAAATAAGAAGGTTATCCTTCAATAATTTCGAGTGAGTGTGGTCAGTAGCAGACTCAATCGTGTAATGATCAGTTGTAGCAATGGCAGATGTTGTGGAACTTAGAGAAATTAAACATTACAAGCAGCGTTTATCAACACCTGTTCGTGATTACAAAGAACTATACCGGTTTGGAAAGGAAAATGTGCAATGGCTTGCCAACAGATTTTTGGGAATTAATGCTGAAACTCGAGGAGGTGCGCTATCATCCGTCCTGAAAATACAGATATGTTTACGTTATCTCAGTGACTCTGGGTATCAAAAAAGCATTGGTCAAGAACTGGGTGTAAGTCAAGCTGCAGTATCTCGTACAGTGACTGCCGTAATTGACAGCATAGTGGCGCAATCAAATTACTGGATAAAGTTTCCGTCTACCAACAATGAACTTATGGATGCGAAACAGTTATGGCAAAGCAAGCATAGGTTTCCGACAGCAATTGGCGTAGTTGACTGTATTCACGTAGGAATACTGAAACCAAATCGCCATCGTGATATAAGTATGTCAACGGAAAAGGTCATCCTACACTGAATGTGCAAGCCACCCGTGATGCAACAGAAATGTTCTTGGAACTTACCGCGGCACACATCAGCCAACATGCCAACAACCAACAACCTTTTACTTATTCTTGGAGGTTATCCTTGCAAATATAAGGTAATCATTATGAATACGAAAAAAAGGGAATGCTTATACTCCTACCTTATTCTTCCACTCAAAACCTTATACTTCTACCATATACTTACAAGGATATCCTTCAGTTTTATGAATACAGCCCAATAAATACCTGAATTCTCCAGCCGTCGTCAGCTTTTTCGCACCAATGTAATTTTTAAACAATATTATACAAAATTGGTGGTCCCTTTTCTTATTACCATTGTTATTACTAAAACATTCTGCATGAGAATATTTGTCTACCCGAATTCAGTACATTGTTACTAGCAAATAAATAAAAAGGGCAGCTGCCACCGACCCTATGGCAAACCAAACCAAACCAGACGTGTCTCGATACTTTGATGTATTAGTGGGTGCGGCTCAAGTCTGGACTCATCTGATTGGACTGGGGGCTGCCAATAGTACCTTTTGTCCGAGCGGATATCTCCCGATGACCCAGGCTTTGACCCGCAGTACACGGGCTCTTTAGCTAATATTGTAGAGCAGGGCTGGGCTGGTTCTTGCACATCTTACCCTAAGGCCCCTGTTGAGGGATAAACTGCTAAGCTGCATTTACTCATTAGGGGGAACCTGATAATCTGTAGACGACCCTAGCAGGAAATGTTCCCAATTTGATAAAATAATTCATAATTATTACCTAATTATACCTACAAACTGTTTCCTGCTACCTACCGCATACCGTTTGCAACTGGATAGAAGCCAGCCTAAGAAACAGGGTAATTACATCTACTCTGGGTGAGGACACAGTAGAAGCAATAGTAGGAAAGGGCTGCCCACAGGGAGGCGTTTTATCGCCATTGTATTGGGCGATCCTGGTCGAAGATTTCCTGGCAAAAATGGCAAAGAAGAGATTCTACTGCCTTGGCTACGCGGATGATATAGTCCTGGTAGTCAGAGGCAGGCATCTAGAACATGTCTCAGAAAGAACTCAAAAAGCACTGAACATAGTAGATAACTGGTGTAGGGATGAAGGCTTGTCGTTTAATCCGCAAAAACCGTAATTGTCCCGTTCACAAAGAAAAGAGTACTAAGAAGACTTTGATGTCCTAAGCTCAATGGAGCGGAAATCCCCTTCTCAAAAGAGGTCAAATATCTAGGAGTTATTTTTGACCAAAAGATGACCTGGGGTCCACACCTCAATAAAGTTGTCCAGAAGGCCAAAATTTCCCTGGGGAGATGCAGAAGGCTTTGTGGAAAAGGCTGGGGACTTAATTTAAAGATGAATCTATGGTTATACAAAATGGTGATAAGACCAATGATAACCTACGGTTCGCTTGCCTGGGGTACAAAGGTTCACACAGACCGTAGTAATCAGACAGCGTCAAAGTGTGCAAAGGCTAGCCTGCGTATGCATCACGGGTGCCATGAAAACAGCACCAACCGCAGGCATGTTTTAATTCCGTCATCTATTTCAGCACCAATAGAAATAACACGTTCTGATTGGCTGCGCGGTGTTCTTCGACACGGTGCCGAGATGGGGGTCGGAAATAACTGCAGAGTGCCGAGATCGCATGACAGAATTAACTATTCCTTGTTACATGTTGGGCATCATTTCTTATTATTTATTATTTTTACCGCAATAATGGAAGAGTTTTTACCTACCTCGTTTCGTAACGTGACTATTCATGAAAAGTGTACTCGAAGCGACATAAAAAGTGAAGAAGATTTGCGCCAAGAATACAGTGTATTGAGCAAAACAAACTGGAACGTTAAAAAGTGCATAAGGTCAAATAGGTTTGTGGTTAGGTATGGTATTATTATTTTGATTGAAATCATAATTGTTTTTTAAAGGGTGCATCAAATTCGATGTCCTCTATCAGTACAGTGACAAAAATATTTGTCAGTTTAAGGAGCTGTATTCAGGTTTCATTTATGCCCGATCTAAAGAAAAGTACGTGAACCTTTGATAATGTCCGTGTTCTTCAGTCATGCGCACTTGTGTGCCGTTGTTCATATTAGGTTCGTTCCAACCCCCCGTTTTCGTATCGTCATGAAACGGTTTCGGAACTGTTAGGATCGATTGCAGACGCATGCGTTGACCTTGCACGGTTTTATCTTGGTACAGAAACAACGGGTAGTTGGAACGGGTTCATGATCGTTTTCGTAATGACGACAGTTCAAATAACTTTAATCCTAAATTTGTTTGTTTGCAAATTAAAATAGAAGAATATAGGATTAGGATTACAAAATAATATATAAAAAAGGAGAATCGAACACCAACGCTGATTCATTATGAAGAATCTGAAACTGAATCCTTGCAAGCTGATAACATCAAAGATTAGCAAATAGCTGATAATAAATTTTGTACTTTTTTTCACTTGAAAAAATAAAAATGCTGCAGTTTTATAAGTTAGATTGGAAATTGGTTGTTTAACAACAACATGAACAACAACAACAGGTGACAAAAATTGAATTACGCATGTCAGTCATGGATCAGTCCACGCGGTTCTTGCTTTCCACTCGGGATCGAAATGACGGTGCTAAAACCAGTTCTCGAACGATCCCAGGTTTGGTTGGAACGCCAACGAAACTGTACGGTAAACGATCATCTCTCGGTTGGAACGCGTTTAACCTATGGCGCATGACTGTGACCGTACATTGAACGGTTTTTGGCTGGGTTGGAACGAACCTATTATGTCTAGTAATAGCAAACCAATAGAAGCGTAGTGCGATTATTCTGACGCAGCATAAGTTAAATTTGAATACACCATTTTTAAAAATAAAAGTAACATTTATTGCAGTATTAGGTGTGCGTTATTTTTCAGAATGATTTACCTGTGTCATCATACAAATTATAAAAGAATAGATCCCAAAAGTAATAAACGAGGGCGGTCCAAAAATTGTTCGTGTCCTGCAGAAATGCATATTAAAATAAAATGTACCACCAGAGATACTATGAAAAAAGATGCTCATGTTAAGGTAAACATATAGCGTGCCCCAAAAAGTTTTACCCATATATGAAAATTCACTTATTCTTTATTATTATTACCCGAACCGATTTATCTAAAATTTGAGACTTTACTGACTTTAGGGTTTAAGGGTGTTCTGCTATACTCAATTCAAAATGGCATATCCAAGAAATGGGGGACTCTGCTGCTTCTTTTTGTTTACATTAAACCTTGTTGAATAATTTTTTTTTTTAAGGATGGGTTGCCAGGTCAAATAGATTTTAAACATGAGCACAATTAATCACTCGGAAACTTCCGAATCATTTTCCTACCTACGACCATCACAAAATGTTAAAGAAATATTTGAAGGATATTTTAGCGATGGACTTGGAGTCGAAGAATCAATTAATTTGCATGAGTCTAAATTGGAATTGGAAGAAGGGGAAAATTCAGTGACCATCGCTTGTGCTTCAATGAATCCACCAAAACATACAGTTTATGATTGGTACCGAAAGTGGAGAACTTCTCATTTAGGGCCAAGAACTGGACCAGGTATTATTGAAGTAAGTGATTCAAGTGGTTATAATGAGCTCTATG